CTAACTAACCTTGACTGTGTATGAAATATTCTTTTGCTAACCTACCTGGCAGTAGCTACAGAATAATAAAAAATGATTAATATTGAATGCTGACAGCTGTACTAGAATGTACGCTAAGTGAGCAAAAAAGCACGGCCAGGCTTAACAGTGACTAGTTCTCCTAAGTCAACTGCTTTCAACCTGGGGTTTGCAGATCCAGAGGCAGTGGGAGAGAGGATCTCTGAACTATCGTAAAGGGCTCGGCAAAAAATACTGAGAAAAGCGCAGTATTAACCAGCTGATATTAATCATACAAGTGCATACACCTCTGCAGCAAAACTTCAGATGTTTTGCAAATCAAAGGTGGCAAAAAGCACTCTACCAATAAAGATGGCACTGAAGCAAGGCAAAAGCTCCAGTGAGAAAGGGGAATCAAGAAAATGATTCTAGGAAGCTCAGAAGCACCCAAACAAGGCTTGACCACTAGACCAGAAAAATTCACTCCGTTTTACGTGCGCTCCCATGTCAAGTTCACCACTGAAGGAACACTGTCAAATAATACATCAGGCAATGTGACTAACATCTGTCACATACATGCGCTCTTATCCTTCCTCCAAAGGAAAAAAGTGACTGTTTTTCTCTACGTTGCAGCACTGACGTTAGAGGACAAAAGAGCAAAGAAGTGCCATGAACGATGAGCAAAGGATAGTGAGAGTTGCAGTTTTCCTCCACTGCTGGGGATTTTTCACTGCCTGGGACTATCTCCCTTGAATAAAGTGTTCCACTGGGCCAGTGGAGCCTATGTCAAGCATGGTCATCAGCCCAAAGCTGAAGACGACTTTACGGATGCGATGGAGCCAGGCCAGTACCTGAGCATACAGTCTCTTTATTCTAAATATCAGGCAGAGGCCATTGCGCAGAGTCTAGGATAATTTTAATGCTCCATAATAGTCTACACTATTCTGCACGCTTGAAGCTTTATTAGTGTTAAAGGCTGCCTGCCCAGATGTATTTCATTGCTAAAGTCCAGACGACAGAAGTATGAGTAACCACCAGATGATTAGCTGCCAGCATGGGACCTTCGATGGGCCAGAGAACAGCATTTCTCTCACCAAGGGAACAAGAGGTGGAATGAAAGACAAGAGACCCGGAAGCTAACTAGAAAGAGAGAAAAGAAGGATGGACTTTAGACCTCTGAAAGGACTGCTCAAACCTAAAGGCTTCTGAATTACCGAGATAGCAGCAGAGATTTTGCGGTTACATCCTAGTATTTTTCTGCAGAACTTTGTTTGTTATAAGGCACTCTTGCCTTGGGGTATGGCTCTGGACATTTATCTGAAGCATGGACTGTCTTGTTTCCTTTTTCTTTGTAGAACATATAGCACAATAAGATTATCTGGTGTTATGGTAAAGCTATTACCAAATTAACTATCTGAATAATTCTCATTGAAAGTGGCAGAATAGCCACTCTATAAGCACATGATATCTAGTCACGTCCACCACAGAGAAGCAATAACTAGGTACTCGTGTAAAATCTCCGTGTTACGACAATAACTCATGATTCCTTCTGAAGTAATTTAGATTAGGGCTCAAAAAGTTATCAGCTCAAGAAAACTAAATCAAGTTAGTGTAGTTTCCTATTCATCATCCATTTCTTACAGCTAAAAGCATACAAAACTTGCTTGTTCTTTGGGCAGAAATATCCTTTTATGTCCTCCTGTAGTGTATTGGAGTCCTTCCTGTACCATACGTGAGACTCATAATGCTCTATTGAAAAACAGTTCAGCAGAAAGTAAGCTATCTAGATGCCACAAGAATTTGAAGAGAAGAGCGAGGCTCAGGTAACAAAGAATTTCTGGTTGTGTTCAGAAACAAACAAAAGAAAATACTGAAGATTCACGTAGAAGCCCTGAATGATGCTAACAGTATGCATTCGAAGCTACGATTTCACTGGGAAAAGCAGCATGATTTTTCCTGTTCTCCTTTAAAACAACAGAAATATGCATCTTTGCTGCCATATTAACAGAAATATTTGTGCTACTGTCCACACATGTTTACCATATGCTATGAAGCTGAATTCATATAAAACTGCTGTCTTTCTGCTGGAATGTAGTTTTTCCTGTCTTTCAGCTAGCTAAATGGGATATGAAGGAGGTTTGCAATAAAGAAGCATACCTTTTACCTCTCCTCAGTGTGTCAGCTAGCTTCCTGAAGCAGAGGCTTATATCTTATCAAAAACCAGTAGCAGAACTGTTTCTACCATCTAATGTCAAAAAATCATGTGAACCTGTTTATCTAAGCTGATGCCCTCCTGACAAGCTGGGGAGCTGGGATGAGCTGGTTCTAAAAATATGTTCTGATGGACAGGTCAGTGGTGTGTACACTAAGTAGCACCATGCTGCTTGCCACCATTGAAGTGCCATGAAAATTTGCCCCTGTCAGAAGTAACATAGAATGCTCAAAGCTATCCATAATTTCTTTCTTCTATGAAAAAAGAGCAGAGCAGTAATTTAAAAACTGATCATTACATTCATAATAATACAATATAATACTAATAAGAAATCAGAGTTTCTTACTGCTAAATATTTCTTTCAAACAATGTCTTGATTGCACTTCTACTTTAGCAGGGGCTTAATAAGATATACATAATGGTGAGCACAAAATAAATTTATAGAATCTTCACCGAAGATGAGACTCTTTTCTTTGACTGATCATCTACATTTTTGCATACGTCACACAGGTACACACATACAGACTACGTAGATCTATATGTGTAGACAAACTGTAGGGGAAACTGTTGTAGAGAAAAGCCATCCTTCCCCTCATCACCTATCTAAATTGAGGGTACTAAGTTGAAGCCATAAGAAGGCAAAGACATTAAAGGAACAAAGGACAAATTAAATAAAGAAGGAAAGGGACTTCAAGGAAAAAAGAGAAGGATAAGGACAGCAGGCTAGAAGAACTGAGAGGAACACAGCCACAGACTCTGGATTGGACTCTGTGGGAAAACAGATATCAGAGCAAACTCTCCGTGAAAGAATGTACTGAGCCCTGCAGCCCTCTGCCTTCAACCTGCACAAACTTCAGGGCTGCCCACCGCTCTGGAAGACCCCAGTCATTATTTCTGCTTCTGAACGCAAAGTAAAGAGCCTGGGAAGCAGACTTTATTACTGCTTCTCTACCCTGCTCACTGAAGTTCTCTCTCTGGATTTGACCAGCAAGATGTATGCATAATTTATATTAAATCAAAACCAGTGGATAGAGTACTAAGGGCTTTTCTTTTGAGCTCACTTGAGAATTTTAGTGTTAATCACTTACTGGATTTCCCAAATAAACTGGGAATCAATAAACACAGTGTGAACTAGTCAGTAAGATTTGATATATACTATAATCCATCAGTTGTTTTACCTGTCAATCTATCTATCTGTTTTATCATCAGTTTCTTAAGACTAAAAGTAAATCAAAACTGTAGCCTCTTTTGCCTTTTCTTTTCCTTTTGTGCAAGGCCCAGCACAAGAGTTGTAGTCCATAGAGGGGGCTCTGTGGCACTTCTAACGTATGAATACACAATGTTTTCATATATCACTTAAAAAAAAAATTTTTTAATGTCACTAAATACACACCTAATCAGAATCTTCTCAGTATTACAGCACCCATCTACAGGGGTTTGATTAATAAAATGCTTTCAATATTATCTTATCAAGCTGCATTAGTGTTTATATCTTATCTACTTGCAGTAATGACTTTCTTCTCACAGAAGACTATCAGATCAGATAGCAGCAACCTTGCCTATGCAGGATGAAGCAACACTACAAACAGGATAGTGCAGAACCAAACTTTTTTTATTATTTGTAACTGCCACTCTGTTTGGTTTTGAACACGACTTAAATACATGTATATGCGCATGCATATATATACATATATATAAAAAAGAAAAAATATTAGGGGCACTTTTCATCTCTAGAAAACAACATGCAAGTCTATACGTATTCTTGTCAAGTTTACTCTTACTGTAATATACCTCCCAAAAATGGCTTCACAGGACTTGTAGAGGAAACTAATCACAAACAGTAAAATGAAAGCATTATCACATGCAACCTTAATCTGTTTTTGTCCAAAATATACAGGGCATGGAGATGTCAGGAACAAGTTCTAAAGGGAACTTTTCATTCCAGGGCTTTTCTCTGTTACCATCACAACAGAGACCTGTTGTCAGCAATCAAGGCTACTTAGTTTAGAGGATACCTCAATTTTATTTAATTTTCGAAACTATTCTTAAGTGCATGAGGAAGTTGGAAAAGTCCAATGATAGCAATTTACCACTATTTGAATCATGTAGCTCATGATGTTGCTTCAATCACATGTTCACAAGCATCCATCAAATAAAATAGAACTTTAGCATCTATACTGTACATGACTGCTCAAGATAATAGCAGATGAAAATCTATTTTATTGAATAAGTTCTGTCAAATGGCCTAAGATCTGAACAGGATTTTAAATCTATTTCTCCACAGTAAGCAAATCTGAGAGAACTACAGAGCTATCACACTTGACTAGAGAGAGGAAAGGACAGAATACTTTGCATCACTAAACAGAGATCTTATTTTTATAAGACCGTTACTGACACACCTTTGGGATGTGAGGGTTCATGGCATGGGGAAGCAATAGGCATCAGAAGGTTGGGAAAGAGCACCTGGAATGGACCAAAATCTGAGAACCTGTCAATAAAACTATGTCTACATCCTGTTACTGTTAACCCCTTGTGAAACAGAGGCATGCTGAAATCAGTTGAAATGTGGAATGCAGATACCGTGCACTGTTCATTGAAAGTTACCTTTAGAGATTTGCCTAAATTCAGCTTTTAAGATTTGAATATTTCTGTGTAATACAAATACTCAAAAATACAAGCTTAAATGTGTCACTGTTAGTGTCATTTATCTATCTTCCGTTTACATTACATTTTTCTAGTAGTGGTTATCTGTACCCATTTTTTTTTCCTGGTAGTGGTTATCCATACTTACCACCGTGCCAAGAAACTGAATGCTTGTATTTCCAGATGCATTCCGAGAAAGGCGCTGAAAGAAACAGACGTAAAAACTAATTAGAGGCTTCTCAGTAATCTGAACCAATTCGGTTTTCTTTGTGTCACACCACCTCAAAATAATCTAAACTATCTAGTACACAAAACAACATGTAGAACAAATATAACCATTTCCTTCAAAAGTCTCAGCGATAAAAATCTAATTCATACTTCAACTCGGATTTGGTTTTAGTTTCAGTCAATTCTATAATATTCACTTTGAAGAACAATGTAAACAAACGTGACCATGTACAACACAGAACAATCTTGGGCTTGCAGACAGACTGGTGTTACGAATAACGAGGCTGTTGACTTCTCCGAATGTCTGTGATTCACACTTAGCATTATCTTCATTCTGATGTAATGAGAGAGACATTTTAATCTCTTTTTCAGATGCAAACCTCCAATGATGCCACTTTGAAAAGATAAAATAATGATCTTATAAAACATCTGGTTACCTACTGCGCTCAAGTTTCCAAACATTCTTCAGATATTTTACTGTCAGTAAGCCACAAGACAATGCAAAATAAAATATATTATTGATATAATATAATATTACCTATAATCTAAACATGGGAAATACACAAAGAGTTCTTCCTCTTTGTGAATCTTCTCTTCCTTCAAAGTGAAAAGCTTTTTCTCCCTTTTTTTTTCCTGCTGTTAAATTACTGTGCATAGCGACCCCAGCTCAAGGTCCCAGCCACAGAACGCAGTTTTAATACTTACACAGTGCCATAAGTACACACAAACACAGAAGCACAGATTTGAGAAGGTGGGTATAAAATGCAAACAAACTGCTGCACTGAGATCTCCAGCATTTTGAAGACAACGAATCCTAGGAATAGGGCTGCAAATCATCTCGAGAGATCCTCTAGTCTAGCATCACAGGCAGAATCAAAAATACCTATGTCACTCCCAAATGGTGTGTGTCTAATCCACTCTCAAAGTCTTTCAATTGCAGAGATTTCACAGCCTCCCTGAGCAATTTATCCCAGTGTTCAGCAACCTTATCATTAGAAAGTTCTTTTCCTAATTTCTGACTAAAATATCCCTTACTGCACCTGAAGCCCATTGATTCTCCTCTTATCCATCACAGATGCGGAACATAGATAATTCCCTTTCTTTTTACAGCTACCCTTCAGGTATGTGAAGACTATTATCGTGGCTCCCTTTAGTGTTGCCTTCTCTAGACTAAGTGAGAAAATGCTATACAACAATAGCTAGAAATCCCTGTAAACAATTTTAGTGGCAGTAAATTAAATCCTGGTCCCCTTTTAATAATGATGCATGTTCTTTGGCTACATTTTATGAAGTAACAATGATTACAGCCCAAACATGCTTATTTTTTGACTTAACAGGTCACTCACTGACACCACAATCTGTACAATCATATGAAAACAAAGGATGATGTGCCAAAGCCTGACATATTTCAACAATAATGATTAATGGAATGGAAAATATGGGAAATAAAATTTCATACAAAACCTGACGTTTACTTTTATAAAGGAAACAGGAATATACACTTTTCCCACAGTCCAGGACAAACACAATCAGGTTTTGGAAATCACAAAGAAGAACAAAGTACCGGCTGCCTACAATGAACAAACCGTATGCCAAAACAAACAAGTCCCAACCACTTGATAAGCTGTCAGAAAATGGTAAGTCAAAAAAAATTAAAGGATTTAATTTCTTTTTTTCCTGGAATGCCCTCCACCCTCGTTAGAGTTCTGTCACTTATTGTGCTACCCTTTTGTCCGCTTTCAAGGGTCATTAGAGACCTTTTCATGTCCTAATAAAAATTCCATTTTTTTGGCTAATCTCCCCATTGCACAGAAAAACACAACTTAAAAAACAAAACAAAATACGAAAACCAAAAATAAAGACCTTTTTGTCATTTTCTTAAAGGCTTTCAGAGTGAAACCAGGCATCTTGACACCTTAACTTATTTTTCACAATTAAGAACGAGATCATGAAAGCATCTCCTCACACAGACGGTCTTTACTCACAAGTAAGGAAACTAGAATAGCAATAACTGAGTCCTTTCAAGAATAAATGTAGCAACCTGTAGGCTATATAAAGTTAAAATATAAAGTTAAACACATATGTATCTCAAGAAGGCACTTTCTAAAATCCTAAGACAAGACAAGGATATAAGCACCCTCTCCCCCAGCTTCACACTGCTGGAGAGCGTGGGCATCATACTACAGTGAGTCCTCACTGCTACTGTTTAGCCTGTGTCAAAAATGCAAAGCATTGAATTCAGCTGTCGAATGTACCAAGAGTCAGCGTAAGCACTCAAATACATCCCTGGAATTAACAACCAGCGAGGAAAGAAAATAATGGCGATGGGGAGGAAAAGAGTTAACAAACACAGAGGGGGAAAAGACATTTTCCTTCTGGGTTTATTTCAAAAAAAACAAAAACAAGAAAGAAAAGTAGAGAAATTCTCCAAGTCACAAAACATATGTTACACTGAGACCAAAAAGAAAACTGCCAGGCTTTTGAGAACCATATTACAAAAGAAGTCAGCACATTATCATAATTAATGTTTCAAATTACAGTTGTAAATAAATTTCAGCTGTTAAATGTGATTAGATTTTTTGAAGCATATTGAAAGGAGTTATTTCTGTTCCACTGGTGGGCTTGTGTTTCTGAGATTTGTAAATGTAATTGATGTTTTCAAGAAAATGAAAGGACATGGTTTACAATTATTCTTTTATTTTCCACCTCTTTAGAAAAAGGACCAGACTCCAGTCTCCTAGTCTCCAGTTATTCCTCTTAAGTTAGATATTTACATATTCTATATCTCATAATAGATGGTTTCATATTACATGTGATAGCAGGAAAATAATCAAATAGCAGTAACAGAAGAGAATAGCTAATTATATGCATTGTCATTGTTTTCTGAATAATTTGCAAAATATTTACTAGAGGTTTTCACTGAAAAGCAAGGCAAGTCTACCATTTTAATGAAGACAAAACAAGACTGTATGATTACCGGTGAAAATCACATTGTTGGCATCAGTTACGTGATCTTAGACATAACTGATGTTCTTCCAGTTCATTCAACTGATAAAGCTTCAGACAAACTTAATTAACATAATATTAATTAAAAGTATAATGCTTTTTCCTTACACTATGAGAAAGCAACAAGCTAAATCAAATTTGAAAAAAATGAAATCAAAAATTCAAAAAAAATCCATCTGCAATCTCAAAACTGTCAAATGTGTGAGCGTTACATAAACATTATATGTATTGTTACATAAACAGGTTAGAGTATATTATACTGCATATGCTATGTATATACAAACATAAAATGCTTATGCATGCATATAGACAAGGGTATACAGTCCTACAAAATCTGTTTGATTTTCCTACTCTTATCTTAAGTACACGCTATACTGCAATCGTTTCACAAATAATCAATTTAATCTGTAAATCCCAGTAAATTATCAGAGGTTAGTGTGATGTGACTTTAAATTCTTCCGCTTTGCCATAGAAAATTATTTCCACTTAGTTGGGTATCAATGATCTATTCATTATAAGATGCAGTAGGGTTACAATCAGCTTTGTATTAAGCGTGCAGTGGATGAGTACTTTAAGATAAAAATGATAATAACCTTTATGTGAAGTAGGATAAGGAAGCTCACCAAAATATAAAACATACATTATCGAAAGAGATTCTAAACAGACGTAGGTGTTATTAGACAATAACAAGACCGCAGAGTATGTTCCACAAATCTTCTGATATCTTAGGCTCTCCAAGCTACTTGATGTGAGCAGCTGAAGGGAAGGAATGATAACAGAATAAAGAAGCTGAAACATAGCAAAAGCAGTTTGTCACTTTGCTTGCAAATGAAAAAGCAATGTGTCAAATCAAAACAAATATTCAGTAACAGAGGAAATAATGTATTAAAGTTTCCCAAACACATTTGTCTTGAGCTACTATATACTACCTTCATTTGTTGAAACTAAAGCTGGAGACCATTTGTTACAGAAAATGCAAAGACTGCCACTTGGCCAGCTCCAGTTTTTGCAAGCCTTGCTATGATTTCATTAGCACTAGGGCAAAATGTATCGACTATAAAGAACCTTTTAAAAAAAAGTCAGAAAACCCACTGATTTCTGGATGAGGGCCACTGAACAGTATCTCATATTATTGCAGAAGACTATAGACAAAGTTTTGAGTGAAATACTGTTCAGTTTCCCGATACGGTTCTTTTTTTGGAGTGCAGAAGTTCTTGTAGCCTCTATTGCTTCATCTCGATTGCTAGCACTTCTGAAAATGTTATGCCATGAATTTTAAGTGGAGAATGCTATCCACTTACTGGCCAAAATCTGTAATTTCCTGAAAATTCAACCTAGCAAAGTACAAGCCAGAATCATCCTCAGATTTGTTGTTAAAAACAACAAATTATTCCCATAGTAGGGAAGTTGGGAGAAAAATCAGTACTTTAACTTATAAAATTATGGCAGATTCAGCTGCTAGTAACTCATCTATGAGTTTTTGTGTACATGAGTTTGTCTGGTCATCTGCAAACCTCCATCATTCAACTATGGCACTCCCATCTTTGGAACCTCATGGCCAGGTCAGAGAGGAGAAAAAAGCTGCAGAAGTAGCTCTGAAACCATGAACTCTTCTACTTGTCAAAATGTGAAGATTGTTTATCTGCCTACTTTTCCTTCTCCTTTTAGAACATTTGCTCTTCAATAGGAGTTTTCAGAAGAAAGCAGAATTTCATTTGAGCGCTCTCTTTCCACAGTGCAAAATGCTAGCTACTCCACAGACTAAAAGGAGGGAGGTCCCAAAGCTTCAAATGGGCAAAGTGTCACCCCAGACATCATGCAGCAGCAGGCACCCACTTCTGCAGCCTCCCTAAGTGGATCCCAACCGTGTAGAAAAGGTCCGGCACAAACTCTGGACTGCGTATTTGCAGTCCAGACTAGCAATGAGACCAAGATCTCCTGAACGTTAAAGACTGCCTCTTTGCATTA